CGTTTCCGTTTCGATATGCAATACGCGCAAATATCACGACGTATTGACAAGCGGAAATGTATTGCTAATATTTGCGCTTGCCGCGACGACGTTAACCAATTCGATACTTGTTATGCCAGATTCGAAGCGGTATTTAATATTGATGATTGAAAATTCCGGATTTTACGGTGATTATATGTTGTACCGGAAAACATTTATTTAATGGATATTAACAAATATTAAATCGTATTTGGCAAGAATAAATAATACGGTCTATATATTGAGTACATCATGTCTTTTAGAATATCTCCCAATATAATTTTAATGGTAGTTTTCTGTAATTTCAATTTTTTTTTTAGGTACACTGAGAAAAAAATGCTGTTGATTCAATTAAAGTCTATATTACGGGCTGTCACTAACATACGTGATTAATTCATGCGTATATTTTATTGATATAAAGGCTTGATTATTGAAATAATAATTTATGCCTTTCTTTGTGTCAATAAAAATATATATGAATTAATCACTTATGTTAGTGACAGCCCGTAATATTTTTTCTGTGTAAAAGTATATTTTAACGGAACTTATAGATTAAGACTGACACGTCCTCAGTTTTTGTTTTCACTCCGTTCATCATGGCGGGAAAGCGACATTGTCCATGTGTATTCGCGATGCACTTGATGCAATTCGTCAGATCGATCGCCCGGTCCGTGAACCAGAAAATTATGCAGTTTCGATTTCGCGCGACGTCGTCCTGACTGCAATCATTCTGCATGACTCACAGTGGAATCTGAGAAAAGGATTCAACTCTTTTTGAACGGAAATCTACGGGTAATTTTTCGTTACATTCCAGCATGCATCCCTTTCATAAAATAAATAATATATCTGATTAATGTTTAAGGAAAGGAATAGCTAATGTATTTTCATTTATATATGTAGAAAATATCTTTTCTTGAAAGAACATTCTCTTCCATGCTGCAGCTTTCAAAATGCAAATTTAAGTTTGCTTTCTGTCGCTATTCTTACTTGCTGTATATTCTGTCTTTTTCAAAGAAACGGATTTGCAAAATGAATAGTGACAAGACAAGATAAGCGAAAAAAATTCTGGATTATGTTGTAATATCACAAGTAAATTTCTGTTATGCTCTTACATGTTTGCTCTGCCCCAAGTAATTTCCGCGACGGCAATGACGCGCACGGAATCCTCGCATCCTCATAAGCCGTGAGCATTATGCTGGTTACTGTAACGAATACTCTCGAAGGATTCTGCAGGATAATTTCGTCGTGTTTACCGTCCGTGAGGCTTGATTTCGCGGAAGGTAGAACGCGAGCGTTGCTGTTCCCTGTGTCGCTACGCCGCTGCGCGATGCCGCGAATTCCGATCCGGAATTTCAGGGACGCCGAAGTTCGCGGGAATGTTTCGCGACATAATCTCGTGCCGCACGAGACGTGTATAATGTAATCTCGTGTACGTGTACGACGGGAATTCGTGCGTAGGTGATCAGATTAACAGGCGAGATGTTTTCGCTGGGCGTACCACGTCTCTGATCCGCCACGCTCGACTCGGCGATGATCCGCGAGGAAAACGTGTATCTGTGTCCCAGGAATGTATCTCCGGTGTATTATTGCATCTCCTTCGACATCTAGATCTTTTATTATTCCAAGACATCTTGTAAATAAAGTCTCGTATTGAGGTATTGATCATACATTTACTAATAAGAATTAAAGTCTTAACTGGCAAAAATTTTTCATTGAAAATGGATAAACCAGAAAATTCTGATCATATTAATCAGAATTCTGGTCATTTTAACTGAAATTATAATAGATTCAACCAGAAAAATCGGATCTTTGCTCGTTTTCAACTAGAATCCATTTAATGCAACTATAGACTCTTTTTTCATTGTATCAAAATTTGATCAAAATAAGTGTTTTTATATATGATCGATCACTTTCAATACTTTAAGTTCTAAATTGTGTATTTTAAGATATTCTTGTATATTCTTAAGATATTCTTGTATATTCTTAAGATATTCTTGTATATCTCAACTTTTAAATTGTTTCCTTTCTAATCAATAAAAAATAAATAACTTTTAATGAATCACTTTTAATGCTGCTTTTATATAACGTATGAAAGCAACATCAGATTTATTTGCGAAATGATCTCCGGTCTCGTAAAACCCGTCAACTCTCGCCTACCATTTATCACTGCGATGTCGGGTGCATCGGGCGCTTATCACAGCCTTGTCGCTATGAGATCACTCGATGCATTCACACCCGCTCTAAACCTGACGTCATGTACCGCGCCGAGAGGTGGTCAGCTCCACAAGAATGCCTCTCCTCCCATTGGGTCACTTCCGGTTTTCCGTCTGTCACGCTCCATTTGCGCCTGTTCAGTGCCGCATCGTCGGTGTCTGCGACCGAATGCGTCCGCGTGTCCTCTCTAGGAATATTTGGAAGTTCCGCGATCTGTATTACGTTTTCTCTCGGAAAAATCCGTATCGTTCATCACGAGTTCCTCGTCCAGTGTATGCATAGGAAAATGGTGCGTGAATTTAACTATCTTGGAATATTGCACGTGACAGTCAGAAGATACGAATATTGAATAATTTTAAGAATATCTTCCCTACCGCAATCGCTTTACAAAATATCTTTCTAGATTTTACAAAAGATTTTTGGTACATTCATTAGCAATAAAAATTTGAATTAATCTTTATTCTGCAGCCTCAAAATATAAAAAAATATAATAAACAAAGAAATTCAAGGTTAATAAGAGTATATCGCGATTACAAATAAGTGCAAGTTATGTCAAAAACTTTTATTATTTTATGAGAAGAGAATCATGCATATCATCTTTATTTCAAATTAATTATTTTGCCTCATTTTGGAGTCCTTTTTAATCAATCAATTTGGAATAAAGATGACATCATTCTCGTAAAATAATGAAAGTTTTTGACATCACGACGCTCATCTAACCGCACTGTGCATTCATTAATCTTATTGTTTGTTGCATTTTTAAAAATTGAAAATCTATGTAATTGTAAGATTTTTAATTTTCAAATATTTAAGTTTAATATACGTTTAACATATATAAATATTTAAAATACAAGTTATATTGAATTTCTCAGATCACTTTCAAATGAAAGTGATCTTCGCATAAAAAGGCTGAAGTTAATTACTTTGGATGAAAATCAATAAATGTAAAACAAATCTGCCGTAATTGAACCATCAGTAGACTTAGCTCATTTAACTCTATGAACCATCTTGATGAAATCGAATCACTCGTAGGAGCAATTCGAAATTGAATTGTTGTATGCCTTCGCTTTCGAACACCCGTTATCTCCCATATCTCGTCGGCACCGCCTTCTCGTTACTCTATTCGGTTCATGTTTCATCGGGACCTGCCTCGCGTGGGTAGGATTAATTTGCGTATATATTTCACGATAATTGTGCGCATTTGCCCGTCTGCGAGAGATCGTATTGTTCCTCTGTTGTTTCGCGTTCGGTATATCCGACCTCGGCTCCTTTGTTATCAAACTCGAAATTTCGCGACTATTATTATATCCACGTCGGTTTTCATGTTCGCCTATGGAATTGTATATTCAATGTCGCTTCGCGACGACTTCGGTATCGTCGAATCCTGCATCGAGATACGCGCGTATCGAAACATTACCCTATGATATTTGTAGAGCAGAATGATGAAAAGCATTTTTGCAGAATTTAATTTTATACGCGAAAAGAATGATTTTGTTAAAGCATCTAACATACAGATTTGAAAATAATTATGTTAGACCATTAAAATAATTACGTACATACTAAAAAAGAATACTAAATTATAAATATTAGTTTGAACATTTCTGTAAATATAAACATATATTTATTCGATACAAAATCTATAATTTGATTAAACTATCTTTTTTTTATTGAGTAAATATATATTTATTCATTTTAAATAAATGTTTACTTTAGCACTATTTAGAAATATGTACCTATTAAGATTTAGTATTTTTTTTTCAGTATAGGAAACTCTATGATGAAAACAAAAGTTTTAACTTTTTAACAATCAATTTGAGCGTCATACATAATTATTTTGATAATTCAACAAAATTATTTTCAGATCTGTATCTAGCTAAATTTTTATATACTTTAACAAAATCGTTCTTTCCGTGTAAGATCCCCATTGTCAATGTAACTGTTTAAAATTTATATAATATTCTATACATTTTAAAAAGTTTTATTGACAGTGGGAATGTTATAAAATTAAACTTTGCTATGCAGAAATGTATCTTTTTATATACTTATATATGAATGTATATTTATCTTAAATATACTATTTGCTTGAGAAATAAAATTGATTAATGTGAGCAGTTAAGGATTCTTTTTCCCTTGATTGTGTTAAACGTGAAAGTTTGTATCAAAATAAATGGGAGTAAATAAAAGTCTTACACACGTCTGCAAAGTTTATTTGAATAGAAGGAAGGATGCATCGTGCATACGAAGTTATGTTTCATAATATACCAGTGCTGTACTCACATTTTGCGAAACTTTACTTTCTAAAAAGAAAGAATTAATCTCTCTGTGCGAGCGAATTTATGTTAACATGGAAACCGTAAGAAATTTCAAAATTATTTAATACCTGAGACAGCAATCAACATATTTCATTATCAACTTACATAATACCGATTATAATTAATTATTTGCTGATTTCGAAGCCTTTTCTTAATCTCCAGCTACATAATCATTTTTGCCGTTGTAATCTTAACTCACTTCCGTTAGTTAAACGCAGTTGCAGGTTTTTTTTAATCTAAAAACCCTCGCTCAAGAGGAACTCGTAAAGCTCAGTCTCTCGACTTTTTCACCGAGAAAAGTCGCGAAACACTCTCTACCTTCTCGCCTGCTCCTATTTCTTACTCCGTTAACCTTTGAAGAACTCACTGCAAGAGAGTTTCGCAATTAATTTCCCTCGTTCTCGCTAGGGCGTCCCGCTCCCGCTTAGACTAACCGAAGACGCTGTGTGCTTGCAGATAGTCGACATCGAGGCGGTGCCAAGGTCACGAGGGAGGAGCTGAGGTCATCGCGGCATCTATGTTGTGCGGCGAACTCCTGAACGGTGGCTTCGTCAGTGCCGGAGCGGTACCGGTGGTTCCGTACAGCCTCCCAGGACTCTGGTTACCCGGTTGCCTGCGTGCTACCAGCCCGCGCCTATTGACCTCTCCTTATCTGACCCTGCTGGCCGAGCTTCTGGCCGCGGGCCGACTAGAGCTGCGAGACGATCTCCTGGAGCTGATGGACCTGGCAAAGAGGAGCCATCAGGCTCCTGGCAACAACGGAGCGTCCGAGCTCGATCTTGACCTCCATGCCGACGACATCGACGAGATTTTCTTAGGTAAGTACTCTTATATTTATTTTTTAAAAAATGAAGAAAAAGAACTACGAGCCTAAGAGTTAGTAGTTAAAAATAGAAATTTTTTTTAAATCACAGGATAAAATATGTCATTTAGTCAGAATATAAAACTTTAATTTGCTGGCAATAAACAATAGAACACAAACAAACGTTTCGATCCCTGTTGGATCATTATCAATGTTAATACACAAAAATAGAACGGTGAAAATATTACAAAGTTAAAATATATAAAAATTACAATTCGCTCTCAATTGCAAGCAATAATATAATAAAACTAACAGTTGTTTAATATAATAAACAATGCTCAGTATAATTTGAAAATTATACGAACGTTGTAATCGGTAACAATGTGTGCTTCTGGTTATTATTTGTAGATTAAAATAATTTGTATCTGTTAAAAAGTACATAAATAATTTAAACATATAATAATAAGTGTATAAAATAAAACGCAAAATATAAAAATATAATATACAAAGCAAAGAATAAAATTGAAATTAACAGTAAAAAAGTAATCTAAGATTCTACTAGATGCAAACTGAATTAGTTAGTCATAATAATAAAAATTATGTGATATATAATTACTAAGTAAAATATAAATGTAATTAAATTTAGTAACAGTTAAAATAACGGATAATAGATATCTTATGAATCGTATATTTATTACTCTTATATTTATTACTCTTTCACATAAAAGTATCTGCTCATATACTTGGTTTGTATGCTTATGTCATTTGACTGTAGACCACCAGTTATCAACAATCTAATATTGGAAATCTACCTACAATCTTATCTTGTTTTAATAATGTTATAAGAATTGTAATTCTCACTATTTCTCATCAGATACATTCTTTTTTAATTGGTTTTATTATATAACTAAGAACGGATACTAATCCAAATTAATTTCAGTCTTGGAACTTTACTACATAATAATTTTATTGAACTAACGAAACATTATGGAATATTATTCATATAGTATGATGCGAGAAAGGATAAAGGGCGGAGCATAATCTGTATCGAAATCCCACACAAAATTGAAACATTCTGGTGAAGTTTGAAAACCGATTTTTATATCACACAGATCTTAATATTGTGAGACCATACATACATATTAGACGATCTATACAATTTACTCAAGTTATTATTTAATTTCAACATTTAGTTTTAACATGACCTAGAGCGAGGTCCAAATGGCGTTCCTTATTTAATTGTAATAATTTAAATTTATAATAAACAGTTAGGATCATAGCTCATAGCTTTATAGTGAAATTTTTAATTTTTTTAATTTGTAGCAAACAGTCTATTAGGCTCGTAGTCCTTTATTTATTTATTTAAAAAGTTGTTTTAATGAAATGACTGACAAAAATATAATAGCTAAGTGTCGTGATCATCGAATCCAAGTTCTATCGTAACAACTGTACAGGGTGTTTCAAAATTTGCGCCCGTGAAGTACAAGACGTGATACTTTATGTTAAACCAAACAACTTTTTCCTTTAACGAAATTGCGTCTGTTAAATAATTTTTGCGTTTATTTGTTGACTTCAATCTGCTCTTCTGCAAAAACTGCTTATCGGACGCAATTTTGCTAAAAGAAAAATTGTTTTTTGTGCTAAAATGAACAACTTTTTCCTGTAGTAAAATTACATTCTATAAATAATTTTTGCGTTTATTCGTATAATTTCAACCTGCTCTCCTGCAAAAACTACTTGTCCGACGTAATTTTGCAAAAGGAATAAGTTGTTCCTTTTAGCATAAAGTATCACATTTTGTACTTCCCGGACGCAAATTTTGAAACACCCTGTATTATTCGATATATTTCAACATCTTGGATGTCGAAATTGTAATACAATTGAAAGCAAGTGAACACACCCATTAAATTTTTCTCCGAGTCGAAGGTCTGTCCGACTAAAAATATCGGAGGCCGCGCGTATAATACGCGATCTTACGACGCGTGTCGTGGGTGTATGCGATCCGTTGTCTTTTATTTCGAAAGCAAGCATGCCGGCGTAATGGTTAGGCCGTAGTTCACATTAATGGGCAATACACGCGGTCGTGACGACATCGTGAAAGTAGCCATGCGTTGGCAGAAGTGAGCGGCGCGGAGCCCGTGATTACGTCCGCTGGTAAATATGCTCCTCAGCTAAAATCCGGTAATATTCTCCGTTTTTCATGACGAGCGATTTGTCGCTCTATGTACCATCCGCTCTATTGAGATGACCTAGGAAGAAAAATGAATACTTCTCTACGATGAAAATTTCTGGAGGAATTTTAAAAGACATCGCATTAATATCTACTATTTAATTAAATTACTTTCTTATTTGTAGTAAAGTCTCAAATTTTATATATTTGCGAATCATTTTATATATTTTTTTTTTCGAGATGTTATATACACAGCAATAAAATATCGCAATGAGAATTTCCAGCGAAAACTGACAATGAGCGACATGAATTGCGAAATTACATAATCAACTCCTGCTGAATCATACTGATCGGCGTGTAAATTAGTGTTTGATAAACGATTCTCTTCAATACAAGCTTAAGTCGATGTGACCCCGCCTTCGAGTAAGTCATAAATTCATTTATTGCGTCGTGATCATTACAGAATGGCGAGAGTTAAATGTCGGAGTAGGAAATAACGGTTACGAATAATTCGCAAACTACGAATAACTCGTAAACTGCGAATAATTTCTATATCACGAAAGGATTTAACAGTGTGGGTAATGCAAAGATAGGAGGGTAAAAGGTAAATGAGAAATTATTACCATGGTATTCTTTACATCTCAGAAATTCGTCCGATTCACGCAAAGCACCGCAATTTTTATGAAATTCTCTGTTTTTATTCTCGGTAAAATTTCTCTAGTAAGAGTATGGTATGTTTACGGATATGACATTACGAGATTTATTTCTGTCGTTCTCAAAAGAGAGTCTACGCCTTATACTTCGTTTTTCGAGAAAGAGAGAAAAGAAGTCTCTGTCTTGCGAAGCGTTAAGATTTTTCAAGACGATCCGCGCCTTACAATCATTCTTCTTGGCTACTCTCCTGGTCAGTTCTCCTCGTTCCATCTTCCAACTCCGGTTTACCTTCTGCCCGGGAGACCGTCGAGGATCTTAATAAATCGCTCTACAGCTCGATCCCGTTTCTTCGTAACGGCCGTCCGGAAAAATGGAGTATCGCCCTACATACTCAAGAGATCCCTTAGAAATTGGTGATTCTCTTTTTCGCATGGACGATGCTCTTAATCCGCGAATAATTTACTTATAACGCATCGTCGATAACGGTTTTTTTATGCGAACACGATGGAAAAGCTATGTTTTCGATTTTGTCCAGCTTAGTAATATCATACAACAGCTTTCACAAAATATGTATTACTTACACATATCAATGTACTACAAAAAATTATATAATAAACAATATGGAATACTGACAAAAAAATTTTAATAATTGTTTGAATAATACTAAATAAATGTAAACATATATTTATTTGGTACAAAAACCATTTGTTTATGTATTATTTTTTTATTTAGTAAATATTTATTGACTGTAAGTTAATCGTATAGTTAGTACACACTATTCAAACAGATTTATTAAAATTTAGTAAATTTTTTTTAGCTTACGATATGTATACATAGCTTATAATAAGCACGATATATGTACATAGAAACACAGGCATTTTGATTCGGTATTTTAGATAGGTATTTTTAATCAAGATACTGTCTACACTTTGTACATCAGGCGGCGACATCGACAACTCAGAAGTCTATTTCAGCAGGTTAAATTGGTGCAATCGCTTGTCGTCTGGCTGCAAAGTGGTTGAATTTCGTCAACAACGCTTTCAAAGAGCTGCCAGATCTGGTTGAGAGTTTTGGCGAAATTCTATTCAATTCATGGATTCGCAAACTACCCATGTCGATCATTTCTATTCTCTGTTACAGCTGTAAACTTTGTTGCATGCAATATCAAGATAACGAATCCTTTTCCTAAATTTGATACAGGATTCGTGAACGAATATTCAAATCATTGTACGTTGCAATAATAGTAAATATGTACACGTCAGTTATTTCTTTATGCGCTAAGTTTGCCTTTAAGTCGCTATTACCAAGTAATTTTATTTATTTCAGTTTATACTGCACGAGAGAAATACTATAAATAAAAAAAATAGAAAAGGGAACAGATCGATAGAAATGGATACGCTCGAGCTCGATCGGATTAGCTACGAGCAATGTGCGCTGCGTGCGAAAAGTTACGTTCGTTGTTGATCATAAAAACGGGATATTCACGAGAGTCCGGGAAACACGTGGAAAATTGCGGAAACAATCCGCGGCTAGTGAAAATCTCATCGTGGAAAAACTACGCGCGCCGGATATTTCAATCAACTCGCCGGATTGCGCGCGATATCGTTGCTCGAAAGTCGGTATGATTGGATCGTATTGGCCTGCCTGACTCGATACTGTGTCGATCGATCGTTCGTCGATCACTGAACGGTTGCGAGTACAAGCGAGAATGAAGGAGAAGAGCCAGGCGTTAAAAATAATATACGCGAGACGAAATAATCATATTTCACTATTACATCGCGGCGACGACGATACGCGGAAAATTGAAAAACGAGGCCGAATCAGCGCTCTGGAGGGCCATCGAAAATTAGTTTTCGTATTCATTTGCTTGCCGAGAAAGTATATTGTATTTCATCGGCACGCGTGATGAATTGTAACCGGTACGCACCCATCACTCTTTCGAATAAACGTTTCAATCTGTCGTGGATTGGCCCCTCATTTTTGTACGAGGGATAATAAAATATAGACGATATGCTAGAAGGGAGATACCTACGCACAATAGATGACAGGGCACGTATTATGAAATTATTTAGATGGATTTATGATCGGAATTATTCTCTAGATTTTTCTATTGTGTTTTCTAGGGAAAATGGAATAATTCCGATTGGAATTTATTCTGAAGATTTCCGTAATACGTGCCCTGGTAAAATATG